GGGGTTTCACCATGTTGACCAGGATGGTCTCGGTCTCTTGACCTCGTGATCCACCCGCCTCGGCCTCCCAAAGTGCTGGGATTACAGGCGTGAGCTACCATGCCCGGCTTTTTTTTTTTTTAATTAGAGTTTCGCTCTTGTTACCCAGGCTGGAGTGCAATGACGCAGTCTCAGCTCACCGCAACCTCTGCCTCCTGGGTTCAAGCAATTCTCCTGCCTCAGCCACCCAAGTAACTGGGACTAGAGGCGTGCGCCACCATGCCCAGCTAATTTTGTATTTTTAGTAGAGACCGGGTTTGACCATGTTGGTGGGGATGGTCTCGATCTCCTGACCTTGTGATTCGTCCGCCTCGGCCTCCCAAAGTGCTGGGATTACAGGCTGGGATTACAGTGCCCGGCCGAGGGGTGTTTCTTATTGCAGATGGAGCTTCTGAGCCCGTGTCATGCTTCCTGCTCCACGCTGGCCCGTACATTGTTCGTGCTCCTCTCGAACATGCCCTTAGAGTGGCTTGCCTTATGTGTGTCTCTTTCCCCACCAGAGGGCTGGCTCCTGGAGGGCATTAAGACAGAGTCAGCCTCTGATTCATCCTTTGCTTTGCATATTTTATTTGTACTGTCTTGTTGTGTAAAGATACCTTCAGTACTATATGATGAAATAGAAAATAATTGAAGAATTCAGGGTTGAGAGCAATGTGGGATAAGAAAAGGATGAAATCAGAGGTGAGAAGGCCAGGTGCAGTGGCGCACACCTATAATCCCAGCACTTTGGGAGGTTGAGGCAGGCAGAACACTTGAGGTCAGGAGTTCAAGACCATCCTGGCCAACATGGTGAAACCCTGTTTCTATTAAAAATACAAAAATTAGTCAGGTGTGGTAATAGGCATCTGTAGTCCCAGCTATTTGGGAGGCTGAGGCAGGAGAATTGCTTGAACCGGGGAGGCGGAGGTTGCAGTGAGCTGAGATCTCATCACTGTACTCATTCCAGTGTGGGCAACAGAGCAAGAGTCCATCTCAAAAAAAAAAAGAAAAGAAATCAGAGGTGAGGGTAGTACCCACAGGACATAACAAAAGATTCTTGTCTACTGGAATAGATCCAGAGCTCTGGCTCTCAGCTCCTTAGCAGCTAATGCAAACAGGGAACTAGTCATTTCTGTGTTTCATGGAATGGGCATAAAATGACATTAAAAGAAAAACTTAAAATGGTATCTGAAAACGAAGACATTTCTCTTAACCATGCTATGTGACTTTTTCTTTTTTTTTTTTTGAGACGGAGTTTCGCTCTTGGTACCCAGGCTGGAGTGCAATGGCGTGATCTCGGCTCACCGCAAACTCCGCCTCCCGGGTTCAGGCAATTCTCCTGCCTCAGCCTCCTGAGTAGCTGGGATTACAGGCACGCACCACCATGCTCAGCTGATTTTTTATATTTTTAGTAGAGACGGGGTTTCACCATGTTGACCAGGATGGTCTCGATCTCTTGACCTCGTGATCCACCCGCCTCGGCCTCCCAAAGTGCTGGGATTACAGGCTTGAGCCACTGCGCCCGGCGACTTTTTCTTTTTTTTTTTTACAATAAACTCTGTACTATTGAGCCTAATGACAGAGCTATTTCAGAGAATGTTCCTCAGTATTGGTATAGTTTGGCAACTGCTGCAGAAAAGCGACTTCACAGAAGACCAGCTACCCATCTAAACTAGGAATCTTCGACTTTCCTGTAGAACAGCGTACCTTAATCTTAAAACCCATGGCCTCTTTTGGGAAACAAAAATCTCATACCTCCTCTTCTTTCTGAGAAACACCCTTCCACCACGCCAGTCTATAATATCCAACCCTTTATCTTCATCAGTCAAGAGTATTTTATCTTGCTTTCTCTTAAATTTGTATTGCAGAGACAATAATAACTTCTTTCCCATATACAGTTGTTATACTGAATGTGACTTTCAAACTGTATATCCTATCCTTGTGCTACCAATCTTAGGCATTTCTGAAATTCCACCTACTCTTTTTTTTGACACGCAGTTTCACTCTTGTCACCCAGGCTGGAGTACAGTGGCACAATCTTGGCTCACTGCAACCTCTGCCTCCTGGATTCAAGCGATTCTCCTACCTCAGCCTCCCGAGTAGTGGGATTACAGGCGTCCGCCACCACGCCCAGCCTAATTTTTTTATTTTTAGTAGAGACAGGGTTTCACCGTATTGGCCAGGCTGGTCTCAAACTCCCAACCTCAGGTGATCTACCCACCTTGGCTTCCCAAAGCGTGAGGATTACAGGCATGAGCCACTGCGCCCAGCCAAATTTCACCTACCTTTTTTTTTTTTTTTTTTTTTTTGCGATGGAATCTTGCTCTGTTGCCCAGGCTGGAGTGCAATGGAGAAATCTCCACTCATTGCAACCTCCGCCTCCTTCCATTTTTTTCCCTAAGGGAAGATGAGTGCCCCTATGTCTGTGGAGGTGCTTCCTTGCTGTTTTCTCCAGGGTCCTCAGAGACCCCTTTTTTTTTCTGTAGTAGGCTGGCAGATCAAATGGTTCCAAGGGTGTCTGGGGCCAGCCTCAGAGCTGTGGTTGCAGCTGTGAACCCAGGCTGTGTCAGAGGAAGCTTGGCTTAAGTATAAAAAAACCTAGCAGAACTCAAGGTCCAGTCACCTGTGGAAGAGAGGTGAAACTCGAAATGCAGTGGCCACTCCCTCTCCCTCCTGAGACATCTAAACCCAGCTTGGTGCTAAAATATGCAATGCCACAGTGGGAGTGGTAGTGATTTAGGGGGAGCTGTATCTGCCTTGCACAGGTTTGGGGGCCTGATGCAGTGGTCAGGACAGACCTGAAATCTGATTCCAGTGAGATGTCTGGGCAAGTGGCTCAATCTCTTAGCCTGTTCCCACCTATGAAATGAGGAGGGAGAAACCTACCAAATAAGGTTCCTTCAAGCATTTAAGTAACGCAGCACTCAGTCAATACCAGCTTCTGTGTGTTCACCCTAATTTCTATATCCATGGACTAGAGAAGACAGGATGGGGTATGATGGTTGCAGAGGAGAGGGAGGGGTCATGGGAATGATTCCTGGAGGGTGATAAGAGCTACATCTGTACACCATGGCTAAGCTGTGACGAGAAAGCAGAGAGCTCTAAATGCCAGGGCAGGGTATGAAAAGCAAGGAGGTTGGAGGGAAAGCCAGGGCAGAAATGAGACGTCCCTGTCCTGTGTGTCATGCTCCTGGAGGCTGGGCCTCCAGCTGGGCATGACAGCCAGTTTTTCATGTGAGCTTCCCCTTCTAGGATGGGGATCCACAGAGCTAGCAGCCTTGCTGAGCTAGATACTAGCAAGAGTCCCAGAAGCAGGTCCCATTACCAAACCAGTCGGGAGTAGGTTCTGGCACAGCCTCGCTGTTCCATGTTCCAGGGGGGTATCCAGTCCAAGGGGTGCTCTGCACCCCGCTGCTGCCTCACTCTCTCCTTTGTGTACTGCCTCTCCAGTGAGGTGGTTAACTCCCTTGGGAGCAGGGAATTATCTGTCTCTCCTCTTTTTGTGTCTAGCATAGTGCTCTGAACAATGGGTTTCAGTTAATTAAGCAAACATAAATGTGTTATTCTGGAGCACAGTGTCTTCCTCTGCTCATTACATGATGCTGCTGATCCAGACGTTCTTTCCAAGACAAGTCCAGACAGCTCCTAGGGAGAACACAGTGCCAGCTGTGAGAGGGCAGGTCGTACAGAACTGTCGCTTCCTGCCACAGAGTACTTACGCTAAAACATGTAAAAGTACTATAATTAGGGCACTGTGGTTATTCCCATTTTACAGCTGAAGAAAGTGAGGTTATTCAGCCGGGTCACAGCTTGTACATGGACTCCTGGGTCCGGTGCTCTTTGCACTTCCATGACCCAGAGGTCTGCTTCCTGCTCGTAAGCCAGGCCCTCCGGCAGGATGCCCATTCCTCAGAAGGGCCCTTTTCCCACCCTTCATCACTCCGCATTCCCATCCTCAGTACCTACCGTGTACCAGAACATTTCCAGATTGTGGTGCTGGCTGTGAGAGGGCAGAGAGCAGGTGAACACAGGTCAGATTACCCCAGAGGGCGCAGGTCATGGGGATTCGTTTATGGAACTCCTTTGGTTCCTGGCACTTGGCTGGACACTGTAAAAATGCCTGTGTTAGCCTGGGCAACCTAGCGACACCTGGTCTCGGGGGAAAAAAAAAAAAAAAAGCCAGGTGTGGTGGCGTGTGCCTGTGGTCCCAGCTTCTGAGGTGGCTGAGACGTGATCGCGCCACCGCACTCCAACCTGGGCGACAGGGACAAACCTTGTCTCAGAATAAAAAAAAAGAAAGGCTGTTACCGGGGAGGAAGGCCCCTCGCCCGACCTCTACCCTCATGAAGAGAGGCTCAGAGGGCTGAAGCGCCTACTTGGCCAAAAGGCGTGGGAGAGGGGCAAAGCAGGGCCGGGAAGCAGCTTCCCCTCCCGGGCTGGGCCCCTGTTTGCCCAGTGCCCAGTCCTTAGCCTGAAGGTGGTGGGCTTCAGCTAGAAGCCCCAGGCGAAAGCGGTGCCCGCGTGTGGGCCAGAGTGCGGGTGTGCAGGTCTCTGGGCGGCCCAAAGAGGGTGCCCCTGCCCGGGAACCCAGCAGCTGGGGCGGGAGGGTGGGGACGGCGGCAGGCGCGCGGGGCAGGCTCCGCCCCCAGGGACGCGGGTTTAAAAGAAGCGAAGGCGGGCCCGGGAGCCGAGCTGCAGTGGAGCGCGCCGGAGCCGAGCCGCTGCCCGGGCACAGCCATGGCCCAGCGGGCGGGGGGCGCTCGGCTGCTCGGCGGCCTCCTGCTCTTCGGCCTGCTCACTGCGGGCGTCGCTCCGCTCAGCTGGGATCTCCCGGAGCCCCGCAACAGAGCCAGCAAGATCCGAGTGCACCCGCGGGGCAACCTATGGGCCACCGGTAAGTCTTCGGGGAACCGGGCAAGCAAGTGTCCCCCACCCTGCTCAGACCCCATTTGCTTCTCAACCCTCTGGCCGTTCCTCAGCCACGGATACTTGTGTCGGAGCAGGTAGGGAACCTTGGGGTTCATCTAATTTAATAGATGCGAACTTGAGACCCCGACAGGTCAGTGACTTGGCTAAGGTCGCGCAGCCAGTTTAAGGCAGGGTTGGGCTAGCTAGATCCTAAATGCCATTGCCAGCCGGTGCCCCTTACCTTAGGCGAGACTTCACCGACTCTTCTAACCGCCCGTGTGCTTTTGCTGCACCTCCACTTTCCAGGCCCCTCTACACGCTCCACTTCCAACTCTGCCCTTTCTCATCCCTTGTCCAAGCAGGATACACAGCTAGCAGAGTTTCTCCCTGGCCCTGGACCATACCACCCTCCTTCCAGCTGTGCCATCCTCTCTACTTGTTCAGGAAAAGCTGAGGGAGCAGGATTTGCCACCGCCCAGATACCTCTGTGGCTCCTTGGTGAGGTGGAACCACCAGGAGGAAGAAGGTTAAGTGTCTTCCTGCCACAAGAACGGAACCGTAGGAGAGACGAGGAACTTTCCCACTTGGGTAGGGTCCTCGCTCCTTGATTTCCTTGTGCCTGGGCACCTCCTTTCTAGGTCACTTCATGGGCAAGAAGAGTCTGGAGCCTCCCAGCCCATTCCCATTGGGGACAGCTTCCCACACCTCCCTGAGGGACCAGAGACTGCAGCTGAGTCATGATCTGCTCAGGATCCTCCTGCTAAAGAAGGCTCTAGGCGTGAGCCTCAGCCGCCCTGCACCCCACATCCAGGTGAGCCAGGTCCCCACTCCCACGCCAGGATGGCCCAGCTGGGGCCATCCCTGGATCCTGCATGGGAGGAATTACCACCCAGCACTGTATTAGGGTGTGACTGTCTGATCAGGACATTACGAGTGTGGACCCCAAAAAGCCAGGGTTCCAGGCTTTTCCCTGTTGAGGCAGAGCTCAAAGGAGGAACAGTCCAAAGAAAGGAAGCTGACCTTCCTGGCAGACCCCATGGAGCAAGAAGTAGGGAAAGAAGTTCCCCTGACTCATCACCCAGTGTAAAGAAAAAGACTGGGCTCATCGGCCTCTTACAACAGGGCCTTTCTCTCCCAGTGCACACAGCCTTGTCCCGCCTGTGCTGCATTAGTCAAGTCCACCTTTGCTGTGCCCTGTGTGTGTTTGTGGCCAGACTGGGACCCTGAGGCCCAGAGAGGGAAAGAGAAGTCAGCAGCCAAGACAGAGTGTGGACCCTGTTCACCTGGACCGGTGCTCTTCCCATTCTCTCATCGGCCTCAGTTCTCCCCATTCTCTCATCGGCCCCGGTATCCGGTGGCAGAGTTGAGCAACTTCAGTACGTCTGACATCCTGACATTCTAGGCTGGATTATTCCTTGTTGTGAGGGCTGACCTGCACATTATGGGATGTTTAGTGGCATCCCTGGTCTCTACCCACTAGATGCCAGTAGCACCTTCCCCCCTTCAAGTTTTGACAACTGAAAAGCCCTTCAGACATCACCAGATGTCTGCTGGGGGAGAAGGCCCCAAATCATTCTTGGTTGTCAGTCACTGACCTAGGGGATTCAAGGCCCCAAAGCTGGAGCCAGGCCAGCCTTCAGATCTAGCCCAGTTGGGCGGCAGCACCTCCATTCCCTGCTCCTGGTACTGTCCTTACTGCACAGCACCCTCCCTGGTCCTGCTGCTGTACGCAGAAGGCAGTGTAATGTGGTAGAATGTGGGCTCTGACTACAACATGCTGGGCTCAGAACCTAGCTACTTAGTAGCTGTGTGACCTTAGAAATGTCCCTTAACCTCTCTAAAGCCTCATATTCCTCATCCATAAAATGAAGATGATACTGAGAAGCCGAGGCAGGAGGAGGATTACCTGAGGTCAGGAGTTCAGGACCGGCCTGGCCAACATGGTGAAACCCCATCTCTACTAAAAAATATGAAAATTAGCCAGCCGTGGTGTCAGGTGCCTGTCAACCCAGCTACTTGGGAGGCTGAGACGGGAGTATTGCTTGAACGCAGGAGGAGGAGGTTGTAGCAAGCCGAGATTGCACCACTGCACTCCAACCTAGGTGACAAGAACAAAACTGTCTCAAAAAAAAAAAAAAAATGAAGATAATAATAAGGCCCATCTCCCATTAAATGAGACAATGTATGTCAAATGCTCAGCATGGTGCCTGGCTCATAGACAGTCCTTAGTAAATGGGAGCTCATACGAGTCTGTGAGCTCCCTGGCAGCACCTGTTGCCCGTTCATATCCCCCTGCTGTGCCTAGCATATAGTGTGTGCATATCGAAGGGAGGGGCATTCCCTAGAAAAGGTCCAACCCCAGCCTCAGCCAACATCCCTGACTTCCTGATGCACAGCACCAGCAGCCCCTGAGGACCTCAGATGTAAGGCCTAGGAGCTTGGGCTGGCTGAGTCTGAAGGGAGACAATGTCACATCTAGTGCGTTAGTTTTGAAGCTCTGGCACATGCAGAACAATTGAGAATCTCAGAAGCAGCAGTGCATAGGTCTCGGGCTTCAGAGTGAGGTCTGGGGTTGGGGACTGAGGACACTGACTAGCCCCTGCCAGGCACTGTACTTGGATTTACTTCCATGAGCTCCTTTGACTGTCATGACCACTCTGGGTGGTTGGGGCTATGTTCCGAGAAAACTGCTGCCCCTGACCCCTCCAAGGCAATTCAGGGTGCTCTGGGCCCTGCCTCAGCTGACAGCCTGCCAGTGCCCACCTCTGCAGACATCTGGCACTTAGGAATGGCAGGATGCCCTGTCATTATCAGGAGCCCCTCCCTGGCTCAATTCTTCTGTATATTTCTCTTCAGTACAGGAGGTTGCTGGTACAAATACCGCAGAAATGACACCAATAATGGGGCAGACACAACAGCATGGCTTAGATTGTGCCCACCCAGGGAAGGTGCTGAATGGGACCCTGGTGATGGCCCCATCTGGATGTAAATCCCGAGCTCAAATCTCTGTTACTCCGTTACTGTGATTTCTGGTTGGGTCACCAGAAATATCGCTGATGCAGACACAAATTATGTTCCTGCTGTATTTCCTGCATCCCTGTTGAATTTGTGAATAAAACTTTGCTCTTTACATAAAATGCCTGGTCCTCTCCTTCCACCCATCTTTTAGGGGGTGGGAGGGAAAGGGGGCTGGACAGGGCAATGTGTTCAGTGAGATAAGGCTGGCTCCAAAAAGTCCAGAATACTCCATGCCATGTGGCCCCAGCCTGGAACTGACTGTAGACTCCTACTCATTCACTTATTCAGCAAGCAAATAATGCCTGCTGTATGCCAGGCCCTGTGCCAGGCGCAGGGTTCTACTCTCACCTCTGCCACCTACTGGCGAAGGCAAGTGTCTCTAGTTTCCTCGCCAGTAAAAGGGGCTGCAGAAACTCCACCGCGGGGCTTGGGCGGGGAGCGCCGAGTTGGGATCCAGACCCCGCCGTCCGCTTACTCTCTTCTCTGGCCGTCAATAGGATTGCCGGCGTTAGCAAATAAAAATATAGGACGCCCAGTTAAATTCGAATTTCAGATAAACAATTTTATCTAATAAAATGGACCAAATATTGCAAGAACATACTCGTACGAAAAAAATTATTCACTGTTTACTGAAATTCGAATTTAACCGTGCGGTTCTGTGTTATCTCTGGCTTGGAGCACTAACTGCCCCTCTCTTGGGCTGCAAATATCCGGTCCTAAAACGGGCGATCTTTTGGTCCTCAAGTCCTCTTCGGAGCTGACACCGGGGAAGTCCCGATTTCAAGTCACTTTGCCCGGAGCTTCCGCGCAAAAAACCCGAAACCCAGCCGGGCGGGGGCGCAGAGCGGCCTCCTGACCCCGCCCCTGACGGGAGGCCCTGCCCACACCTCGCGAGAGCCGCGCGGCACCGGAAGACTCAAAGGCGGAAGTGGGACGCCGGAAGCGGCTGTTGCCATGGATCCTGAGGATGACTGGCTGGTGGAATCCTTGCGCTTGTAAGTTTGTGCGGCTGTGAGACGGGGACTGGGTCCGGAGCTGGCCCGGCGGGCGGGCGGGTGCGGGCGTAGACACGTTGGGGATCCTGGTGCAGGGTGGACCAGCTGTGGCCGCGGGGCTCGCCGCCGCGAAGGACTCCGCCTAGGCTTAGGCCCCCATCTAGGAAATGGCTCCTCCCTGCGTGCGCCAGTTGTGAGACCAGCGCTTATGGAGAAGTGCCCCGTTATTTTGCGCCAGCCCGAGTTCAGCTCTGAACACAGATATCACATTGATTCCTCACGTCAACCTTGGGAAATCTGGGTACTCTGGGAGGTCCACACATGAGGACCGAGGCTCAGGCCTCGGGGAACTGGCCTGGTCCCAGAAACAGGGAGTAAAATGCGAAGCAAACTTGGTCCCACGTCTGCCTGACTCCAGAGCTTGGGGTCACTGAAGCATGCGGCTGCATGGCTCATCTTGGAGTTCTTTGAGCTGCGAAGTGCTGTGCATCGTGTGATTTTATGTCCTTTCCTGCAGATACCAGGATTTCTATGCATTCGACCTCTCAGGAGCCACTCGAGTCCTTGAATGGATTGATGACAAAGGTAGTATACCTTCCTGGCCCTAAAGGGGAGGGAATCCCACTCCTGAGCTGGGTTTGAGGGGCGAAGCCTAGAGAGACCCAACCCAGTCTTCTGGGCGTCTGAGTTACTTGGAGCAATTTGATGCTCCATCAGCATTAATATTCCTCTTATTAAGATCTTTGGCCAGGCGTGGTGGTTCATGCCTGTAATCCCAGAACTTTGGGAGGTCAAGGCGGGCGTATCACCTGAGGTCAGGAGTTCGAGACCAGTCTGGCTGACACGGTGAAACCTCATCTCTACTGAAAAATACAAAAATTAGACGGGTGAGGTGGAGCACACCTGTGCACCACCAGCTACTGGGGAGGCTGAGGCAGGAAAATCACTTGAACCCAGGAGGTGGAAGTTGCAGTGAGCCCAGATCGCGCCACTGAATTCCAGCGTGGGCAGCAGAGTGAAACTCTGTCTGGAAAAAAAAAAAAATCTTCAGGTTGGGCACCTTAGGAGGCTGAGGCAGGTGGGTAGATTGCTTGACCCCAGGAGTTTGAGACCAGCCTGAGCAAGGAAACCCTGTCTCTACAAAAAATAACAAAAATTAGCATGGTGGCCCATGCCTATAATCCTAGTTACTCAGAGGCTGTGGTGGGAGGATCATTTGAGCCTGGGAGGTTGAGGCTGCAGTAAGCTGTGATCGGGTGATGGGACCACTGCACTACAGCCTGGCTGACACAGTGAGACCTCCTCTCAAAAAAACATCACCAGATACCCAGTTCCCTCATACAAGGCTGCACACTGAAGGAATTTATCCTTGCTTTGGGGAATTGGGTGGGAGTTTATGGACCTATCCGTGGTCTGAAATCTTTCTTTTTTTTTTTTTTTTTTTTTTTTGAGATGGAGTCTCTCTCTGTCACCTAGGCTGGAGTGTAACGGCCTGATTTCAGCTCACTGCAACCTGCGCCTCCTGGGCCCAAGGCTGGAGTGCAGTGGTGCCATCTCAGCTCAGTGCAACCTCCATCTCCTGGGTTCAAGCGATTCTCCTGCCTCAGCCTCCCAAGTAGCTGGAACTACAGGCGGGTGCCACCACGCCCAGCTAATTTTTGTATTTTTAGTAGAGATGGGGTTTCACCATGTTGACAGGATGGTCTCAATCTTCTGACCTCGTGATTCACCTACCTCGGCCTCCCAAAGTGCTGGGATTATGGGCGTGAGCCACCACGCACAGCCTGCAATCTAACAGTTTGTCACAGCTACCTCTGCTTCTTTTTCCAGGAGTCTTTGTTGCAGGCTATGAAAGCCTGAAAAAGAATGAAATTCTTCATCTGAAATTACCTCTCAGACTTTCTGTAAAGGAAAACCAGGTAACTTGAAATATAAATGCTGAACATATATGCTGACTTTTATTTATTAAACATTTGTGGAGCTCCTGTTACCTACCAGGTATTATCCTGGATACTGGAAAGAGAAAGAAAGAGAGCGCTAGCTAGGCCTACCCTGATAGTCTAATAGAGAGAGGCAAATACAGAGATAAATTCTGTAGAATGTCCCGTGGTTTACAGAGAGCTACTGGAGGAGGAGGAGGTCATTACACTTCATCAGAAATAGATTGAGGGAGTGATAAAGGCTATAGAGGGCAGTTGAACTGCTTAGAATGGTTCAAGTCACCTAGTGAATGTGTAGTATATAAGGAGTGAGGAGAATATAGTGAGGATGGAACCTCAGGGAACACATGTAAGGGAGGAGTACAGGAAGATGAACGCCCAAAGAATACTAAGAACAGCCTCTGAGGTAGGAGGAATCTCAGAAAAGTTCAGTGTTTCCGAAGCCAAGAGAAGAGAACATCTCAAGAATAAGAGTTAGTAGCTGTCTAGAGTTGGAATAGTCATTCAGATGAGGAGCTGAAGAGTTCATTCATAAGACTGGCAGTTGGGAAGCTCTTGGTGACCTCTGCTACAGGATTTTGCTGGTGGTGGTCAGGCCCAAAGACTAAAAATGAAGAGGAAGCCGAGTCAGGAAATGTGGGGCGGGAAGAAGCTAAAGCAGTAACTAGTCGGAAACACAGATCTGAGGGAAGGTTTCCTAAACACAGAGGCTTGAACAGAGTTACAGCTGTGGGAAAGAAACCCTTGAAAGGGGAGAGGGTGAAACTGCAGGAGTGAGGGAATATCACAGGGAACACGTTCCTGCTTCCAGAAATAGAAGGTGAGGATAGATCAGGAGTCCAGGGGATAGGATTAGTCAGAGGACAACGGAAGAGTGAGGCATACAGGCAGATGACCTCGAAGGGCCATGTGGGGGCCGGAATTTGAGTGTTTGCTCCTGATTTCCTTTTAGTTTGTTTTGAGACAAGGTCTTGCTCTATCACCCAGGCTGGAGTGCAGTGGTGCAATCCTGTCTCACTACAGCCTCAACCTCCCAGGCTCAAGTGATCCTCCCACCTCAGTCTCCAAAGTGGCTGGGACTACAGGCATGTGCCACCATGCTTGGCTAATTGTTAATTTTTTTGTAGAGATGAGGTCTCACTATGTTGGTCAGGCTGGTCTCAAACTCCTGGCTTCAAGTGATGCCTGCCTCAGCCTCCCAAAGTGCTGGGGTTACTGGCATGAGCCATCACTCTTGGCCCCAGATTTCTTAAATTCTTTTATTTTTTGAGATGGAATTTTGCTCTAGTTGCCCATGCTGGAGTGCAATGGCATGATCTTGGCTCACTGCAACCTCTGCCTCCTGGGTTCAAGCTATTCTCCTGCCTCAGCCTCCCAAGTAGCTGGGATAACAGGTGCCCACCACCACACCCAGCTATTAAATTTTTTTTTTTTTTTTTTTTCCTGAGACAGGGTCTTACTCTGTCACCTAGGCTGGAGTGTAATGGCGTGATCTCAGCTCACTGCAACCTCCGCCTCCTGGGCTCAAGGCGTCCTCTGGCCTCAGCCTCCCGAGTTGGAATCACAGGCATGTGCCACCATACCTGGCCAATTTTTATATTTTTGGTAGAGAAAGGGTCTCATCATGTTACCAAGGCTGGTCTCGAACTCCTGAGCTCAAGCAATCCTCCTGCCTCCCAAAGTGCTGGGACTGCAGGTGTTAACTACTGCACCTGGCCTTTAAAAAACAAAAAAAAATCTTTAACAAAATAAGAAAGAATCCAGGTGAGGTGACTCATGCCTGTAATCCCAGCACTTTGGGAGTGGGAGACTGAGGTGGGCAGATCACTTGAGGCCAAGTCAAGACCAGCCTGGCCAACATGGTGAAACCTCATCTCTACTAAAAATAAAACTAGCCGGGTGTGGTGGTGCACACCTGTAATCCCAGCTACTCAGGAGTGGCTGAGACACCAGAGAATCCCTTAAACCCAGGTGGCAGAGGTTGCAGTGAACTTGAGATGGTGCCATTGCACTCTGGCCTAGGTGACAGAGTGACACTCTGTCTTAAAAAAATAAATTATCTTAGGGCATCACCATGTTAGGAGTTGAGTCGAACTGTTTAGAATAGAGGAGGCTAGGCCCGGGTGTGGTGGCTCATGCCTGTAATAATCCCAGCACTTTGGGAGGCTGAGGCAGGTGGATCAC